CAGGCCAACATGCTTCAAAGTGCACTTCTGCATGGGCATCCTCCTCACCAACGCTCTTTTCTTCTATGGTGAGGTCTTTCCCTGATATCAGTGCCAAGCCTCTTAGCCAGAATTGCCTCGGACGACGCGTCCACCCAACTTCATGCGCCCACGTCTTCAAAGGCCTCATTTGCATCTTCGCTCCGACAATCCGCGCGTCAGCGGCATCAAAGAAAACGTTCTCGTATAGTTCAATCACACTCCATGGCCGTTCATTTGGGAGCTCACCTGCTTCTTTCAGCCATCCCGCAATCTGCAGCATGTCATCAAGCAGCCTCCCCATTTCGCTGTCTGCACCTTCGCGCTGGCTCTTCAAGCGGCTTTGCTCAACGCATGGCCAGCCCCCGCAGACTAGGACCCGTCGAGCTCGGCAGAAAGTCCTTTTCCACCTCAGTACATCCTCCCGGGTGATCTCTTTGATGTCGCTGTAGAACATACTGTGTGGGTGATGCCCTTTCTGAAGTTTTCTGGCCTTCGGGTTGAGGTCGACAAAAATGAGTCCCATGGGGACCACCCCTAGCAATTGCAAAGCCTTCGAGAGCCCTCCGGCCCCTCCGAACAATTCAACAACCAGGATCTCATCTGCTAAAGCTCCGCCCTGGCAGTGGCTATCCAGTGCGAGAAGATGCGCGCGTACATCCCCCACTTTGGATAGCCCCACCGAATGGCACGCTCCACCACCTTCCTCTGAGGCATCTGTGGCCCACACTCGTCCATCCAATTGACACTGGGTGTTCATCCAGTGCATCGGGAGCGCCATGGTCAGCAGCCAGAGTTCATCAATCACCTGATGTGGAATCACTCCCTTGCCATAATTGTGGATGAACTTGTATACCTGGTCAAGCAGGCAAGCAGTAGTCCGGTTGTATTGGCACGAATGCATATGCTTTGAGACTGTTGTCATGAACTCATTCAAGCTCACCTTCATGCTTCCCTCGGTTCGAATCAAATGCAGGGTGGCTCCCATCAGGGCACGCCGGAACCCAAGGTTGGATCCCACGTGGTTCTCAAGCATCTCTGCGCCCAAGGTCTGCCATGACCGCACGCCCTCTGCGGCTTTCTTCGGATCACGGCCCACCGTGTGTTCATGATAGACTTGCCTCAGCTGCAGCTGCACTTCAGAAGCTTTTCCCTCATATCGGCCCACCTCCGACTCGTTCACAACCATCACTTGATCAAAGTTGTCCACATAGAAGCTGAACCACTGTCTTGGGGTCAGCAGGTCTCCATGTGGTAACGGATGGCCGAGCCTGAGGAGGTGACTTGGGGGCACTCCAGCTACCGCTCCCATCTCCTCATGCACAACCTGTATCAGGTCAACAATGTTCTTCCATCCCATTGGAGCTGAACAGACTCGAGGTCTCAGCGGTGGTCCTGATCGCCCAAATGCCTCGGCTGATGCCTTTCGGCTCAAGGTGAAGTACCCACGCCAGGCATAGCCAGGACGATAAATGTGGAAGCAATGCTTCTGGTCCTCGGCAAAGAACAGCGACACCTCCCCTTCTTGGACAATCATCTGTCCAAAGAGTGGCCCATAGGACATCTGGGTTGAGGCTCGCTCCGGGAATCTTCCTTGCAAACCATTCGACGGGATCAGATTTATGATCAATCGCAGGCACCTTGTCCACTCCCCTGAAGCTTCTTGCTTCCATGCTTTGTGGACACCAAAGGCTCCATTCAGCACCGGCTTCCCCTTGTGGCGCACCGTCTCCTCCTCGACTTCTGCCTCAAACATGCCGGCCACCACAAGGGACTTCACGATCTTGTCCCATTCAGCAGGACTTTCAACATGAACCGGTGCAGTGTATCGTGGATTGATCACCTCATCGTCATCCAGCCTCACCAGCGCCGGGTTGACAGCGTACTCACGGATGCGCTCCGGGAGCACTGACGCCAACTCGACACGAGCAGCCTCCCCAGCTTTGGGGATTGAAGGCTCAATGGCTCTCAGCGTCAGCGGGTAGCACTTCCGCCACTCCTTCCCTGTGTAGAGCTCCCCAAGTTGTTCGCTCACATCATGCCAAGGCCCTATCCTCACAGATTCCCCTGAGTTGCCAAAGGTTCTCGCATTCCACTTCAACTTCTCCATCACGGGAACTTGGCACTCAAGCAATGTTTTGGAGTGGAACAAAGTCTGCGTCAGCAGCCTGTCCTTCCCGATGTACATGTAGTTGAGCAGCACTACTTGGAGCCAAACCCATGCATCCACACCCGCGACTGGGACCCAGTTGTCCAAGGATTCCTTGCTCCCAGCCTCCGGCTGTCCCAATCTGACCTTCTCAAGCACCCGGCGAACTTCAATCTCGGCCTCCGTGTCATCAGGCAAAGGCAATGGCAGCACTTCCTGGAAGGGCTGTGAACTACCCAAGGGCCCCACTGCGCACAGCTCCATCAGGATCACTGCTGTCCCAAGGAGTGAGGGTCGCACTCTCACCATCTCCTTGAGCACGATCCCCAGTTGAAGAGTAGTCATAGCTCCCTCCAGGAACGCCTCAACCTGCTGATAATATTCTCTCCCTCCATGCCGTGGTCCTTGCCCTGTTCCGCCTCTCAGACCGAAATAGTCCACCGTGCTCTGAGCCATCTCCAAGCTGTCACCCTCATCAATGTAGAGTGGACGACCTTCTAAGAGTCGTCGTGCCACTCTGGTGTCCAGTCGGTCACGATTTGCCTGCCCCAACGGGCTTGCGGTCAACCTTTTGGATCCATCGCCCACATAGATGCCTCCATCACTGCGCCATTGCAGCCACTCCCCCGACACCCAACGAATGATCACCCCGTGATGACGGCCGGCCTCCGGCCCCTCTACATGGTGATCACTCCTACAGCCTTCGGGGGCACAAACCATCTCATCAGGGGCACTCTCACTGTAAAGCTCATGGTACTTCCGTGTCAGGATGTTTGCAATCTCCAGCGGCTCTTTGCCGCAGTTGCTCTCCAAGATGGCCTTCACCCTTTGCGACCTGACATCCTTTCTGTCAGCACTTGCACCTTCCATGATCTCGTTCACCAATGGGGTGAGCACCTCTGGAAGCAACCTCTGATCTTGCTTCACTTCTTCCATTTCCCCCGGCCTTTCTTCCCGCGGCCTTTCCCTTTTGCGGGATCTCCCACGTCGTTCAAGGGGGCTGTCCCATCGGTCACCACTGCGTCTCCGCCGCCGTCTCCTTTTGGCTGACCTTTGCCTCCCTTCCATTCTCCTTTCCAACCCCGAGGGGCCCAGGCCATCTGCTGCAGTTTCAGGTCTGCTTTCCGCTCGGCCTGCACAGCTTTTAGCTCTTGGCGGAAATAGCTGTGCTCCTCGTCCGCGTGGGTCAGTTCGAGGTATTGGGCCTGTGCCCAGCTGCCCTGATCGGCTGCGAGCTCTATAGCCTTCTGCCGCTGAATCAAGACGTCGAGTCCCCGCAGAATGTCGTTGCTTGCCAAGAGGTCCACGACTGTCATGATGGTCTCCATCTCCTTCATAGTTCTTATGCCGAAGTGTGACGAACTTCGCCGGGGAACCAACCACTGATGGAGGTAAGCCCTCGCACATGGGGGGAACATCTCGTGATGTTTTGTTCCCGCCTCTCTCCCGGCCGACCGCTCCAGAAGTTCTTGATACTTCAACAATGTCAAATTGGCCAGGTGGCCTGGCTGCTCCTGATGGATTTGACGTAAACGGTCGACCCCCTCCGGGAGAGAGGCTACGCGAAAAACCTCCTCGCCTGAAGAAGAACTTGAGCTACTCTTCGATCCTTTGCCTTCCTTCTTGCCCCTCTTCTTCCTCCTTTTCTTGTTCAATCGAAGGGCACTGTCTCGGCTCTTCACTCCCTCACGTTTGTCCAACTCCTCCCTGTAGGTCGAACTCGACTCTTCTCCTTTCTCCTTGGCACGCCGACGCTTTGCCTCCCCTGCCCCCCCGGAAATGCTCTCCCGAGGTGACGCTGGAGACTCTGCGTCAGGCGCCTTTCCTCCTCCCGACAACGCCGCTGCAAGTCCAGTGAGGCCTTCCGCTCCAGGAAGTACAGGGGTGAGCCCAACTCCATCTGAACCATAGGGCCGGGCTTCGCTCTTGTGATCCTTCTTGGAGTCTCCCTTCCTTAGCCTATGTCCCTCCAGGATCTCATGCATAGTTGCTTTCCCCTCAGGTGTCAACCAGCTCAACCGTTCATGGCCATCCCCTTCAAGCATCCGATACACATCAATGTGTGTCACCTGGCGGAACGGAGTCTCGACCCCGCAAGTCTTGCAAGGGCGTCCGCAAAGATGTATCCGATGCAGTCTCCCCTCTTTCAGGGGACCGTGTTCATTTTGATGCCACCAGGTGTAGTAGTCGTCCTGGATGCTTAGGAAGTGGCACCCCCCACACTTGTCCCTCTTCTTCTGCTTCATCAATCTCCTTCGCAGCTAGGATCAGGAGCGCATGTCCTTGGGGCCTGCACTTGTCGTCATACATGACGGCCTCCACTACCACTCCAGAAGCCAGGCCTTCGTAGTGTTCAGGCCTGGCCCTGGCCCCGGTTTTCCGCCACCGGGAGGCCATTGCAGCTCCGCGGTCTTACCCCTCAGGCTGAGTATCCCTCACCCCCCTCTGTTGACCTTCCCCGCACGCGTGCAGGTCAGGTAGTCAGAGGTGGGAGAGGGTGTCTCACCAAGAGGGGGCCGGGAGGCTCTTTAACTCCTCTACTCTATGGTAGGGGGCTTAAGCTTTAAACAGAGGAAAAACATTAAAACTTACTCCTTCGCACTAAACTGCAGGGGAACCTGTTTACTTGTTGACCATGTTGCCTTCGGCATATGTTTAAAGGGGTTCCGTTCGTGTTGAAAAACAATTGGATGCAATTGGTTATTCCTTTCGAGTACTCCTGATTTCATGCATGGCTGCATGACCCTTTAGCTCTTTGCTCGCCTGCTTCAGGTTGTCCTGGAACGTGCGAAGCCAGCGGGCGTCTCCCTCATCTTTTCCGTACATCATTTCGTTGTCGACGTTGGGATTGTAAACAGTGACTCCCAACTTCTCGAGCTCTGTCTTCACTTGCTTGGACACTTCCGTCCAATGCTCTCTGAACTTGGTGGATAGCACTACATGGGGTATCCCCGGTGTCCGGTCCTTAAAACCAAATGCGGCGGGAGCAGCATAGCCGCTCTGAACTTCTTTCGAAGCCTTGGAACTCGCATATCCCTCCAACAAGCTCGGAGCAAAGACTTCTTCCGTCTCTGGACTGGCAGCGGCATGGCAACAAGAAAACATGGCGAAGCGGCGAAAGCAAGGTGTTCTTTTCTTCTCCGCCTGAGCCGGGAAAGCCTCACGGATTGAAGGCTTCGACGCTGAGTCATATGCCACATCAACTTGGTGATGTTGGACCGAGGAGGGGCAGTTTGGAATAGCCTTGAAACTTCTTTGTGGCAGCAGAAGGCCAGAATCAGCGGTGTCTTTTTGGCACTGAGTCATACAGCACCAGCACCGACCTATAGAGCTTAGTCCGACTGGAAGCGCTTCAGTCAGCCGACCGAGAGTGACCCAAATGACGCAGTCAAGGCGCCATCCCGGCGCAACAGTGATCTGGTCGGTGCCCCTGCCACCCGTTGCGCAAGAGCCTCTTCCAACGGAGACTCGGACAGAATCGTTGGAGGTCCGTGCCACCTCGCGCGAGATGGTCCAATGCTGGACTGGTCAAAGTCGGAACTACATATAGATCATATAGCGGCTTGACATACCCGACCAAACAAGGTCAATTCTCTTTTAACGTTGTCATGTCTATATGGCATATAGGAGGTGATGACTGGGGGGAGGTGAGGATCCACGTGGTCGCCTCCATCCGTCGGACATTGTCAGTGAAGACGCGACCCAAACGCTGCCTGTTTGGGACTACCATGTTCGCCGATCAGGTGGGGGTGGTTTTGGCGGGGTCCATGTCAATGTAAGCATATCTTCCATACCAGCACAGGTCACCACCTGCGACGTTTTCCGTCTGGAACAGCCACCATTTCGGAGACCTGTTGGAGGGTCCTGGTACATGGAGTGTATGGGAGAGTGAATGGATGCGACATGTTCCTGGCCCAGCGACATGGGTTTGGGTTCTCCACGGCGGCACGAGGGCAACATAGCCCTAATACTTTGGAGCTGAGCACCATCAGGAACACTTCAGTCAGCAGTCTACCAAGGACGACTTTTTGGTTGTATACAACCCGCCAGCCAAGGCGCACAACGCGCACAACGCGATCTGGTTCTGAAAAACAAGGCCTTCCACAACCCTCAGGGAGGACATCTGGATGAAACCTGCTTGGGAACTGGCATCTTGAGGTGGGTACCCCAGGTTTTCCGGGTCCTATTGACGGTCACTGGCTACCTCTCTTGGTTGTTGGTGCATTTCTGCTTGAAAACCCCGTCGTTTCAACTGATGCGGCCCCTCTTCTTCGGATGTTCCTCTCCCGTCCGCCGTCCCGTCCCGCCGTCTCGATCGGACCCTCGGACTCGCGGCACGGATCGCCGCGGCACGGAGGATCCTCACCGTGGCGGTTGGGGGAAGAGCAGTGCGAGATCTACACGGTTCATGTGGAAGACTCAAGGCTTCTCTCTCTCAACAAACCACTGGTGAATCTGGTGATCTGAACTGGTGCTTCGACTGTAGGAGGCCTTGAGGATCCTTGATCGTGTTTTAATGGTGAAAATCACTGCTGGCGCAGCAGGGGTGGTTGTTATCGTACCTTTAGTATCCTTTAGTCACATCAACTCTTCTGAAAAGTAGCCCGGTAGCTGTATAATGCTGCTGTGTATAGTCCGTTCGGACCATGTCTAATGTCAATGTGACCCCCTCACACGACTGTAAATATATAATTGAGAATGCATTTGTATGCATTTGCCATTTGTCATTCCACTCAGAGCCTCAGCACTTCATTGCTTGCGGTTCCTTTTCTGCCAAAAGCCAAAGCCTCTCTGCCAGCTTTGCTGTTGAGCATCTTTGATGACTTCAACGGCTTTTCCAAACACTACCCGCAAAGGACTTGACTTGCAGCAAAAGGACTTGACTTGCAGCTGCCTGATTCAACAAACGGCCTGTCTAGCTGCCTGGTACGAAATCTTCGCAACCACTGGGCTGACCACAGCGAGATCAAACCAGTCTCCTTCATTCTTCAAGGGTTTTCAAAATCCTTAGCTTTCCCATGCAGCTTCCAAATCACTGGGCTCACCACAGGGAGGGCAAACCATTCTCTTTCACCAACTGCTTGGCCTCCTCCTCGGTCACCTCCTTCACCACCGCTCCGTCCTGGAGCTTTTGGTAGCCGCGACCACGTCTCACTCCAAGGCCGATTACTTCATCCCATTGCGACCAGCCCGTCTCCCTCATCCCGTTGGCGAAGCGGTAGAGGCCTTTCCTTGGCACCAACGAGGTGAGTCAGAACCCGAATTATGTTCGACTATCCCAGGCCAGGGTACCCCACAGGTGTTCCGGAACCTAGTAGTTCGGTCACTTGACCTCTCTTGGTTAGGAAGCCGGGAAAAGCCATGCCAAAGATTCGCCCGACCTTGGGGGATTCGCTGGGTTGCACACCGCCGTCGTACAACAGAAAGATACGGCCCTGGAAGATGAACATGGAACCAGCAAACCATAGGAAAATCGTCTTCCAAACCTGCAGAGGTTAAGTGACCTTATAGGACCCTACAGGAGTACCTATAGGATAGTCATATAGGGTTCTTCAACCTCTGCTGGAAGGCCCATTCCGGGGTGTGACCCTAAGCAAGAACCATGTCTCCCATGCCTCTTGTCGTGCGCAAATTCGCCTTCATAGACATCGCCGTTGACTAAGCGGAGCAGCCCTCTCCCCTGCGCTTTCTCATGGACAAAGTCGCCCTCATAGGAGCTGCCATCTGGCCAGATCTCTTTGCCTTGGAGTTGCTATCGGGGAACATCCAGGAACCGGTTATAATAAATATACTAACCAAGACCTTCAAAGTGACCCTTTGATATCCCAGGATGAGGTCACTTAGGTCTGCACAAGGTCACTTAGAGACTCCAAAGAGGTCACTTTGAAGGTCCTGGAAGTAAGGAATCCTCCCCACCAGGACCTTCAGTACGTGACCAGCCTTGAGATCCTAGTGGCTGAGGTTACCAGTCTGTCCCTAAAGAGGTCACAAACAGAGACTCCAAAGAGGTCACTTTTCAGGTCCAAGCAGAAGGCTTTTCACCCCCACCAAACTGACGGTCTCACCCCCTCACCCCCTCCGGGTGCCAGGTGACCCCGACCGTGCTTCCTGCTTCGCTCGAGGTCCCCGACGTAGATCGACCCCTCGGGGAAGATGCACTTGGCCTTGCCAGTGATGAAGCCATCCTTGATGGGGAGCTCTTGGCCTGGGAGGGCCTCAAACACTTCACTGGCCATCTCGACCTCTCTTCGAATGCCCGTGGCCCACTGGGCTTGGGCCTTCTCTAGGGCTCCTTGGAAGCAGTCCGGCAGAAACTGAATGTTTTCCACGGCATAAAGTCCGATCTTGGGCACATCGATGTAGCCGGCCAGTTTCTCCTCCGCTTCTTGCATGAAGGTCTTCTCTCGCTTGAGACCCTGCTGCACTTGCAGCAAGAAACCCCTGGTGGCCTTGGCCTTATCAAGGTTCTCCTCGAAACTCAGAAGCCAACGATCATCTGCCTTCCCTTCAATCTCCATTTTCTTGCCTTGGAGTTGCTCGACAGGACATGGAACAAAACAGTGGTTTCAGAGCAGATGCCACAAACCCATAAAGATGTGCGTTTTTTAATAATATCGGCGATCGGGATATATCTGGGTCCATTCAAACCACCTTTTTGGGAGAAAGAAAGCGGCCCCAAAAAGGAATCCGCATTAGAGCGCCTGTGAAGGGAAGTTTTTTTCACAGCAAAGCCCAGTTGCATAGCTCCACGTTATCCGTGTTCGGATTGTAAACCGAACACCCAACCTTGGATTTGGTGATTCGGAAGCCCAGGGGAGGAAAAAACAAACAACAAACAAACAAATTCACCAGGTTAGGGGATTCACCCAGTTCGGGAAAGAATAATCTGATCCGCAAAAGCCAGGCAACCTTTTCGAGACCTGCCTTGATCTGCTTGGAGACGATTAGCCAGAAACCTTGGTACTTCGTAGAGAGCACCACATGGGGTTTCCGAGTGACATATCCTCCGGAGCTTGGAGCCCCAAATAGCTCTTCTGTCTCAGGACTGGGTCTGGCATCGCAACAAAGCATGGCGTGCAGCTCTTCTTTGACTGCTTGAGCTGGGACACAGCTTCATTCATAAGCCGCCGACTTCAAGTGAGCTTTCCCCAGAAACAACGATGGCTCACAGAAATAGCATCTAACTCACAGAAATTTTGGCCCAGTTGGAGAGCACAAAACATCACACAACTCTTGACAAACCCGAAAAGCCTCCAATCATCAGACTTGATGATTGATCATCCGAAAGCGGGAACATCTCCGTATATACTTCATGTTACTTCAAAAATCTAAAACACCGAACCCAGATTCTTCAGTGCACGGTAAGCCTACCAAACACACTACTCATCACTACTCTATGATACTCTATGATACTCAAGGGCCATTGGCCACACCAAGTGCTCTCCCTTGCACCCGCCCCAAACCAGCACCCCTCCTGCCGGCCGCTGGCGTGTGATCCGCGCGCGGCAGAAGCAGCGCCATGCGAGCTGGTTTCACGCACAGTGAGGCAACCGGGAAACGGGTGCGCGCGGGTTGGATGATGGATCATTTGGGGTGCTGGCACTGGTGCAATCTGGACATGGAAAAAGCAAATCCATCTCCAGTTTGCACTTGCCTTGGGTTGAGAGTGGAGTGTGAGGACTTGTAGAGGGGTGTGCTGCTTGGAAGTGAGTGGCAGACTGGCCTTCTGCCGCTTCTGCCAATGATCCAGCCAAAAACTGCAGCATATATATATATATATATGGACTCCCAAAGCTACACGCGCGGGTTTCACAGAAGACCCTGCTACAGTAAGGTCACATGCTGACCCCTCCAAGAAGATCCAAGAAGCACGTGTTGAGGACCAAGCGTGTCTCTGTGTCACGATTGGTTGAGGCTAAGCTTGGATCCACCAGCCAGTTCCAAACACGACTACGACTAGCTGTGGGAAATGGCTCTTGTTGGCTCCTTGCCGTGGATGTTGGAGTACCTAAGAGGGGTGGGTTAGAACCTGAATGATTTCGACTATCCCAGGCGGGCCGGGGTACCCCAGGTGTTCCGGCTCCTAGTTCAGGTCACTTAATGGTATGATGAGTTGGGAATTCCCTCCCAAACTCATCAGACGATCCGACCACTGGGGCTCCGAGGCAAGGCCAACTCATCCTTTCGCACTTGCCAACGCTGCTCCTCGGCCTGCTGATCCGAGCCAAGAAGTCACCAAAGTCACCTTGAAAGACCGTTCCTTGTAAACCTTCACATCGAATCATTTAAAATAGGAGGGGATAAACCAACCCCAACGCTTTGAGCGGGTCAGCAACCACACCAGTGCCATCCCCTTCGATGTGGCCCGTCCGCCTCCGGGCGTCCCGTCCCGCCTTGAGGCGGAAGATGCTCTCGTCGCGTTCCGAGCGCATGGCTTCCAGCCTCCGACTGGGGGCCATTGGTGTGTGGCCATCGTGGCCAAAGCCGTTGGGCTATTGAAAGAAGGGTGGTCTTTAAAGCAAGGCTCACTTGTAAACACATGCGGGGGAACCGTTGTTCCAGACAAAACGTCATGAACATCATGAAAGACTGGATTTAATGGTTGTTGACCTGGTTGACCTGGTTTTGTAAAGTGTAGTCTAAAGACCTTCGAGAGACAATGGTCGCTCAGCAACCATTGCATCAATGGTGGGCCAAAAATACTGTAGGGCTCGGTGTTCATCCACTACCAGAGGGTTGGGAAGGGTCCTAACAGACTCAAATTATCTTAAATTGGTGACCTGGTCGAGGGTCTTGGTAGAGGTCCTTTTTGAGTCTGTTAGAGGTCTTTGATTGCTCATAGATTTCTCTGGCAGCCACCTCAAACAGTCAGGGGACCGGCTGGCTGGTGCGTTGGGGCACTTGAGATGTCCTGCTGGGTTCGATTCCTCTCAGTCTGTAGCCTGCTCTCCAGCCTTTTCCCAGGCTCTGGCGGTGATCTCCCAACCATTCAGAAGACGCTTTCATGCGCTGTGTCCCAGGGTTCTTCCTTTGGGGATGGGCTGCTGGAAAGAACCGAACACTGCGAAAACTGCGCTCAACGCGCACATGTTTAACGTAAAATAAACCAAGAGTTGACTCTGTTGACTTCATGTCTCAAGTTCTCTACAGTAGCCGTCATTTTGCACACTCATATCTGCTCGAGTCGAACCAACGTCTAAAAGAAAAGTGTGATTCACCAGCGCAACTCAACTCTAAATTGTGACCCATCCAAATTCCACGGCGCGTTCCACTCGTTCGACTCGTTCGCGCTCTCTAAGCCCCAGGACTGCTGCTGGAGCACTTCGAGGCTTGCTCGCCTTCGCGCAGCCGAGAGACCGGCTCGCGACGGTTCGGGTTCCGAGCCTTTCGTCCCGTCCGAGGGTGTCGATCCGCGGGGCCGTGACCACGCCGAAGGTTCTTCCGCCGGTGGCGCAGGGCGCGCCCCTGGAGGTTGGTTGGGCCGGTTTCTATGTGTAGTCCACAATCCTTGGTCAAACAGTGGTTGTTCGATGCTCTTCAGTGACAAGAACCTAGAACCATTAACGAGGCCTAGGGAAGCCGGTCTCGGGCACCAGGCCGCCCCCACATCCTGGGCCACCGGTCTCTTGCTGGGCGCTCTGCAAAGCTGCATCTCTGGTGGCCTCGGAGGTGAAGAACCGTTTCACGCGACCGGCTGGATCACCTGGACGTGCCAATTCTGGATCACCTGGGTGTAAGCCATGACACACCTGCAGAAGTGGATTTTTAGAATGATGTTGGACCCGGCTTGGGACACTAAGACATGCACCTGAACACCACAGAAAAAAGGATCATGCGGTTCTTCCCCAACAGATCAGCTATAAGTGGTGAACGGGAACTTCCGTGGTCCCTCCCAGTTCCAGCTCTGGCTTTCATTGGAGGGAGGTGTTTCAATTCATGTGGATCATGGCATCGGGGGCGGTTTTGGCCGAAAGTGAGCAGAACAAACTAAAGAGTACACTAACATCAGTAACTACAGGAGAGGTCAACCTACCAGGGTGAAATGGGCTCAACCCTTTTCACAGCCAACTCATGGGTCGACCTGGACGCCAAGTCCGGTTTTTACCGCATTTTCGGGAGCCGAAACGCCCACCGTTCTTGCCGGGTTCCCCGGACGGTGATCGCGTCCAACCTTCGCTGCAACTCCTCCGACGCCAAGTCCGACTCGCCCTGCCACGAGGCCACGGGGCCACAGCGGACCGAGAGAGCTTTGGTGGGTGATAGCTGCAGGATGCTGTGGGCCATGTGATTGAGAAAAAAAACATCGTGGAGAAAGAACGCTGACACTCCTAAACATCCAAGACATGTTAGCATCTTACAATCATTGTGATCATAGTACCAGAAAATGTCGAGTTGATGCAACCAGCACATGTGCCTTCTGAAGCTGTTGGAGTCTTCATCTGAATTCAACCTCTGAGGATGCCACGCAAGTTCCGAGGCTCAAACTCAAACCTTAGGCCATGCAGCCGTGAAGTGCACGCAGCTCGAAAGATCGATCGAGGGGACCCATTTTCTAGTGGAAAGAACGGCTTGAAGCCATGCATGAATCCTCATGAAACCACCTTCAACTCCAGCGGAACTGTGGGCACACATGGACCACCCAGCGCGCTAAAGCGCCCCCCTTCAGACCTCTGCAACCTTCTTCACGCCGAGGAATCGAAAAAGGCACAGCCCTTAGCACTTCCAAAGCCATTTAGTAAAACACTTGCTTGACCTGGTTGAGTAATGCAAGGAATCCGTAAAACCGATGGGTTCTTCGTGATTCAACCCATTCGTGGCCCGGTGGCATCGCGAATCGCCGTCCGGAGGCCCTGGCTTCGCACCAGTTCTCGGTGTTCATCGTCCCGCACCTCAGAAGGGGTGACCCGTTCTAGTTCGAACACGGGGGAGGGCCACAGACCGCAGGGCGCCCCGCGCTGTGGTGGGGATGCCGGATGTTTGGTGTGGTGCCCCGCCCAGGGGTCTAAGGAGGAACATCCGTTTAGACTCATACACCTTGGAAGACTAACATGGACCCTGAAATTCACTGGTTGGTAGAGTCAAACACCCTTCCAGGGGGCCATTGTCAGGGTCTAAGTTCGTTTTCGGGAGTGTAAATTTCAACCCCCCAAAATCCATGGACGTGGGGGTTCTATCAATCAAGAGTCTACCGTTGAGATGCCTCTGGAGAACATCGCATCTACGAGTCCGGCGTTTGGAAGACTGACCCCGCCCTCCAAACAAGTGGTCTGTCAAGCGGGAGATTCCTGGTCGATCACGACTCAAATTTTGGAGGATATCTCCCAAACCCACTGACAAATCTGAGATGAAAAAACCAATCAGATCAAATGAGAAATCCAAACCAAGAGAACCATCCTCCCGGATGTTGAGGAGACAATGGTCATCCTGCCAGCACCACCACAAAGTTTGGGCGGCGGAAGGAACATGCATTGGAAGTAGGGGGTGTCAAACAAAACCACCCCTCTACATCCTCTACTCAGTGAGTGCTGACTGTGCTGACCAATTTCCATCCCAAAAGTACCTGGTGCTACAGTATACCTGGTGCTCTTAGGTGTTGTGCATTTTTTCTCCATCCCCCCATCCACACCTGGGCACTCCCACGTGCACCTGCTCGCGTAGCGCCTCGACGGTGTGCGACAAGGAGTGCAACTCTTTGGCTTGGAGCCTCGACGGGCATCTCGCCAGGTCCAAAGTAGAGCAGAAGGGTGTCACATTGAAGCTTTGGGGGTATTGCATACACCCTAGAAGTCCAGTTCGACGATATATTGACCGGCTGAAGTAAAGGAAGTTCCCGAACTCAGTTCCCCTAAAGAGACCATTCTTTTTATAGTCTTTAGGGTGCAGTGAAGCAGTACATCAAATGTAGATCCCTTATGAATAGGCTTTCAGGGTCACCAAATTTGTGAGGTCGAGTTGCACCATGCGGTGCGCCGGTTTCCCACGCGGCGCAGGAGTTGAGGTGAGGTGCAATGCGGCAGGTTGATCCCAAGCACTCCAGGTGTTGAAGGATTGTTCCCAGCAGCCTTCTCCCAGGCTTCTTCATTCCAGGGTTGGGAAGGGGCCCTGTTTGAGGTGGAACCGTTGGTGACCCGTTCGAGGACTGTATCTTGTAGGCTCTTGATTAATCCTCATATATACATTAATCTATATTAACATAATCAATGGTCCAATGATTTTTGGAGGTCATCGATATTGGGTTGGAGGCCGTCGCTTGTGTAAACATTTTGGGGATCTGGTCGAGGTAGCGTCATGGGTTCCATCCAAATGTGGCTTGATTCGTCCCTGGAAGAGGCGGACCTTGGTGCGAATCCTTCTGTCAACAGACTTTCGAGAATCCGTGGCACGTTCTACGCAACCCTTCAATTCAGGATCTTCAGGGGCAGCTCGGCCTGCACTGCGCGGATGCTGCATCCTGGACCCGCGCGGATGCCATCACTCACAGTGGAAAGTGAATTGGCCAGGTTTGCGTGCCGGCTTTGGTTTCTGGGTTTTGATTCGCATCGATGAGAGAAGCTTACAACTCAGCGGGCTGCCATGCATTCCTTGGGTAACCCATGTAACCCATGCTATGAGTTTGGCATTATCCAGGTGCCCAGCTGAGGTGCTAATAAGCAAAACACACCTCTTATCCTTTAAAACTTCCTCGCGGCTTTCGGCTGTTTGGCGGGCTTTGACGATCAGAAGTGAAGTTACATACAACTGCTGTGTCCGTCTGGACAGGAGGTGGCCAGTCTGGCCGCTTTTTCTGGTATGACGGAGTAATTAGGCCAAACTTCCGTAAATTCAAGTAAAGTCTGGCTGCTCCGAGTCCCCGGCTCGCTCCGCCCGCACGTTCTGGAGCTCCCGCCGCAGCTCCGCCTGCTGCGCCTCAGCTCAGGTGCCGCATGAGACGGGCTCCAAAATGGGAAGCCACCGAGTGGGAAGTGACACAAAGAGGAAGAGGTCAGTAGAGTCATCCGACTGCAGTCGGACTGTGCCAGAGCTCCTCTGACCTATACATAACTTGAGGAGCTCTGACCTACATAGCACGTTCAAGCCGTTCCTCCTGCTTTCCCACACGCTTTGCCAAGACCTTCCTTTTCGTCCGGAAGAGATTCGAAGGGCTCCGGGCTCAGCGTGCTGAGCTGGTCAACTAAGGGGCTCAAGCGTCTAAGGCAGCGTCGGGGTGAAGTCAGATCGGAGCGTCTCTCATTGACTCATGCCTTATCAACTGCTCAGGGGAAATGGCCTGAACCGTCAAAGGTGAAGTTGCCAACTTCTGCCACTCAAGAAGCTGCAGGATCTTTCCGTACAAACACACGTTTGCAAAAAAGTCGAGCCAGTCCACGCATCAGAAGGGTCCCTGGTGAACTCAAACCTTAATTAGATAATTCCATCACTCAGCAACCTGGTAACTGGGCTATCCTATCCTTATGATCTAATTGAGCTTTTTGCCCAGAATCCTTTTGCCGCTTTTTGATGTTCTTTAAATGGCATCACGATCACCACCCCGCTGGCGCTTCACCCGTCCACCACGCTCGGTCCTCTACACCCGCGCGACCCGCAGCTGGCGCTCAGATGGTGTGACCCTGGAAGCTCCAATCGTCGCATTTGGACTCTTCGAGCATCTTCCAGAAGGTGCTCTCCCACTCACCAGTCTCCTAGAGCTGAGCGACTGTAACACAGACTGTCAGACTGTTTAGTATTGTTTAGTCACTTTTAAAGTCTAGACTAGCTTGTGGTTGTCGAAGTGGTTGTGGTTGTCGTCAAGTCGTTGTGGTTGTGGTTGTTGTGGTTGTTCTTGTTGGTTGTGGTGTGAGTGCTAGTGTTTGCGTTTATAGTGTGAGTGTTTGTTGTGTATTCTTCTGATTGGACATGCAGCATTGGGGCTTGTTCAGAATCCTCAGTTGATGACAAAACCCATCTGCGGGACATGGGGACGTTCCATGCTGCCGGGACCTTGGGCAAAAGAATCAGGGGCTCTCTACGCAGCCATGCCCACTTAAGCAACGCGTGTGAAAAAAAGGCGGCTCCCTTCACATCCTTCACATCCTATCCGCGACAAACCGCTTCAACCCATAAATCCAAGGTGCTTGCGCAACAAACAGAACTGGAAGTACCAGTTACCAAGTGGCACCAACCAACCACTCAAGATTGCGTATCTTTTGATGCCTTTGTCCAAGGACACTAGGAATTCAATGGCTTTGACAGGGTGCTACAAAGCAAAGTGAACGCACCAGATCGAGCTTGCACCTGTGACCCCGCCTCGTTCTTCTCCTTGATCCACAAGGCGACCTCTTCTGGATGTGGTGAGGGGTGACATAACCAGCAGAAATGTGTCCTTTTGGATAATTTGGGCATCCAAAAATGCCTGTCAAGCAACAATCTCTTAAGAAACTGGCTCTTCATCCAACATTTCTTGATGTAAATCAAAGAACTTCGTGGAAGACCAATTTGCCCCCTGCAATTGGTCAGAAACCTAGCGGTTTAAACCATCTGAAACAAGGCCCATAAGGCCCCTCGCCTGCATCATGCGGCGCGGGATGTCCCAGTCACTCCACAGGGACTCGACGGTCTCGTCGTCGTCGCGGGGGCGAGAGGTCTTGTTGAAGAGTGGGCCCCAAGCATCCTTGTCCTACCCAGCGGATCCCAGTGGATCTAATTATGCCAAACAGCACCACTACATGTGAGGCCGTGAGGCTGTGAAGAAAGGCAAAAGCAATGAAGTGTCGAACCAAAGTGGAGATGAAAGAAATGGCAAAGCTGTGTTGACAGTCACTACGACATGTCGTCATGTCGACGGAACTCTTTCTTTTTCCTACATGCCATATACTTGGGAACTCCCCGTAGCTCCTCGGCTCCCTGTTCAATGAGGAATATGGATACCCCCAGCTCCTTGGCTCCCTTCTAAGCAACACCTCGTATATGCTCACAAGTTGATTCCGCACGTCACTTCCATTCGCTGGCAGGGGCAGCACCGGACCAACGACCAAGTGGCGCCGGAGTGGTACACCAACGGGGCGCCGCGGCGCAGAAAACACTCTGAGGGGAGATGCTTTTTGCAGAAAAACGTGCGACACGTACCCTAAACCTGATAGATTGACCGATTCCGTGAGTCTGATTGTGCTTCTGCTTACCCCACCCTAAGGTTGCCATACATCAGGCATGATGCCTCAGGCATGATGCCTCTCCTTGCACACCAGCTCGATCTGCTCGAGCGAGTATTCGGGTTTCCACTCCTGCCAAGCTCGTCTTTTCAGACATGGCTGTGAAGGACCGCCATGTCTGAGTTGGAAGTCCAGTCGGCCTGGTATAACCATGGCTGATCTGGTATAACCATGTAAAACCCTTAGGTAAAACAATGGCTGTTTGGGACTCAATCTGGTGACCATGTAAAGCCCTTAGTACATTAACAATGGTTGTTGGGGACTATAAAGCATATATTTAATAAATGGTGGTTCGACTACGAGGGTCTGAGTTGGAGGATGGACGGGGTCCATCTGTTTTCTAGGTCGCCCATACCGACAATTCCCCGTGCATCAAGGCTGAGTGCATCTAACCACCTACTTCCCGAAAGATCCAAAGACTTGAGCAGGCTTTTTGAGGTAGGTGAGTTCTAGGGCCGAAAATTGGGCAGCCATTTCCAATTTACGACTGCCATAGGACTGCCGATCAGGCCTGGGGTGGTGCCAGGTCTGGGTTTGGCAGAACACATGCTTTTTGTGGTGACTCCTATGGCATCACTTCCCCTACCCTCCGCCAGATGCTGCCGCTGCTCCTGGACCTTCTGACGGATCTCCCCCACGGTGGTCTCGGCCGTGACGGGCACGGCGAACATGCCCAAGGTCGTGAGCACCTTGACCTCCGGCACGTGGTCCTGGCAAGCTGAAGGGTTCATGAGCTGCTGGGCGTTGATTTCAGGTGGGGTGCCTTGGTGGTCCTGGTGGGTGCCCAAGGTTGAAGATCCTTCGATATCCAAGTCCAAGACTTGAGAGGACGTGAGGGGACCTTCCCGGAACAAAACCTCCAACTCCAAGGTTTGAAAGTGGACATTCATGGGAGGTTCCTGACCCAGGTTTAGGACGTCTGTACTGCAATGGGTTGTTTTGGAGGTTCCTGTACTTTTCGTTTCTGGATTTGGTCCCAGTACATCACCCACATCACAGCATGCGTCTCCAGTCTCCTCTCCACCCCTAGACAAATCCGTCTCCTGATCTCTCTCCGCGATCTCGGCTGCACCCTTCTTGATGAGACCTCCCTTCTCGTCCCAGATCTCCCTGTCCGGCGCGGTGTTCTCGGTGAAGATCACCTCCTTGCAAACAGCGTCAGTGGCGCGATGCTGTGGCGAGGCTGAGGCAGCCAGGGCATGTGGAAGGGGGTGAAGGGGCAGTTTGCCATGAACATGGTTTAAGGAAGCCCACCAAAACGCCAAGGAGCCTGGTTTTTGTGGACCCTTTTTTGTGACTGGTGGAGCGTGCGCATTGAAGATCATTGAAGTAGATGTTCGCTGTTCACATGTAGTTGAAAAAACAACAACTCAATTAAAGAGGCTTTCGCATGGCAAACCATGGCAAATCCGCTCGCATGCAGTGTGGAACACAACTCAAAACCTCAACTTGCAAAGCTCCTGTCCCTCTTCCTCGGCCATCGTCGCTTACCCCAACAACCACACGGACCCGAGTTACTTGAGCCAAACTATCAAGATCTGGGCAAAACGGGACCGGCCAAGGCCAAGGCCAGCTGGCATGAAACCCTGGCGGTGATAACCTGTCATAGAAACCTCCAAACTGGAGCTGCCGGTGCTCAGAACCTGGGAACCTGGATGCTCAGAACCTGGGAACGCTTATCAAACATGCGGACGTCCAATCGACTTGCGGCACTGCGGGTCGCAGCTCCAGTGGTTTAAGCCCCTTTTTTCCTGGGCACCGCTGTCTGGAAGAGACAGGCAGGGCTCCCTGGTCCTGCACAATGCCTGTAATAATCTCGGCTCGCTACCGGCCCAGCTGTGCTGTACTCAGATGGTGTGGCCCTGAAAGCTCCAATCGTCACACTTGGATTCTTCGAGCATCTTCCAGAAGGTGCTCTCCCACTCGCCGGTCTCCTAGAGCACAAGAAGGTGCTACTTCCTTCCAAAGAGTCCGTTTCCTTTCAGGATGCAGGGGTTGGAGCCTATCAGGGTCCTCCTAAGCAGGTCCAGGTGTAGTTTTTCACATGGGCTCTCGGGAGCGAAGGGATCACACCAGATCACTTCAGACATTCAAGCTTCATATGTTGAAGCCAGGATCCTTAAGTAATCAGAGTGGTCCATTTCTGCAGCATCGTGGCGAGATGACGACACCATGTTTCTGGGACACTTGCAGCTTGCAACTGAACGTCTGGACAGTGGTCTCAGGTCTCTGGCGTCTCGGGTCATGTTTGGAGCTCGCCAGAAGGCCAACGCAGCAGTGAGGGCCCAAGTGAGCCCTTTTCGGAGCATGTCGGAGCGGCGTTTCTCAAGTTTACAGTTGCTGCTCCCGAACACCGACCCGAAACAACCCGTTCAGGTCGGATGTCCGGTGATCCGACCTGCGCGGGATTCGGGTTCGCGGCTGGGTGAACTTTTCACAAGAGAAGCCCCACATATCCCAAGCCTCGTTCTTCTCTTTGATCCACAAGGCCACCTAGTCGAAATTCAGCATTGGCGGGGGTGTGGTCTCCAAAGGTTTTCGGCCACCTAGGGTTGTTTTCAGTCATGTTACGCTTCATGCTTCCACTTCATACTTCCATATTGTGGTTCGTTGGTTGGATCTTTCACGAATGATCGAGCACACCTTTCATGGTCTCTATTTGGGTGTGTATGACAATAAGGAGACCTCCCAGATCGACCCCTGGAAGAAGATACATAGATCAGTCTACTCATTCCTTCAGGGCATATCCCTAATAAGTCGGATAGCATGTAGACTATGTACATAGTGTGTATGTATATATATATATATATTATATATAATTATATACCTACTTACCAACCAAGAAGAGCCTCCAACTATGGAGCTGGAGGCTGCAACAACTCGCACCGCACGCGAGGCCCCTCGCCTGCATCATGCGGCGCGGGATGTCCCAGTCACTCCACAGGGACTCGACAGTTTCGTCGTCGTCACGGGGGCGAGAAGTCTTGTTGAAGAGTGGGCCCCAAGCATCCTTGTCCTCTGCAAGTTACCATCAAGAAGGCACCGTGGACATGTGGTTCAGAAAGAACAACGTTGAAGCTACACAAGGCAACCACAAGGCAACCACCGTCTATATAAAGGACTTGAGAGGAATGTGTTTCTGTTTTTGTTGGCCTTCAGGGAGTTGGCTTGGCGGTTCGTGGGAAAAAAACAAGAACTGATTCTGACAAAGCTGGAGTTGAAACGGCTCTCCTTGCACACCAGCTCAATCTGCTCGAGCGAATATTCGGGCTTCCACTCCTGCGGGTCCAGCCGTCTGTTGGGAAATGATCGGGGTCCCCAAATCTAAGTGACCTTTTGAAGGTTCCGAAGTGACCCTTATAAGCCTTAGGAGGCTTAATTGAGCTCAAAGCAGGTGATCAAAAGGTCACGGTGAAGAACTAAGCAATACATGTTCTACGTGGGGATTTACGAATTTCTATCTATTTGGGATAGCAACTCTGGTAAAATTGAGCCAAGAACAAAACTCCGCAAGGAGTGTCAGATAGGGGTGCCTAGTGGAGAGTAGGCGTGCCCACTATCCACTTAAGCCATTCCTTAGGAGCTCCAAGCCCTTCCTTTGGAACTGCACTCCTTGCGCTGGACTCCGGCACTAACAACGTTCGACCGCGCCATCTGGTTGAACCAAATGCCACCGTCTTGCGGAGAGTAGGGCATGGCCCCTAAATGGCTATCGTTCTGGTGACGTAACTCACTGAAACTCTTACTGAACTATAACCCAGACACTCCATGTATGCCTTATATATACATTGACCCCCCTGGCACCACCCCAACTGACCACCCATTAGTCGTGTCTGGGTAGGAGGCAGGGTCCAGTCGATCCAACGCATGTGTTCACCAAACCAGACCCAGTCATCTAGGCCTCAAGCAGAACTCCTCGTGGCTAAGCATTGTAGCTCCTACCTTGTCGAGAAATACAAAGAGACCTTTGCAGCTCAGCACAGCTTAGCCGCCGAATACACACCCGCCGAATGCACTACTGATTCTGGAACCGCCCCTTCTTAGGGTTCTACCGGAACGAAACGCCGAAACATGCCAGCAACACCCCCTAGTTTCTCATCCCTCGGAGTCCAACCACCATTGACTTCATGATACTTCATGGTTTTTAAACAAGAACTCTTTAGCCTAAGGGTTCTATACTCCCAAACCCATGCCCATTTCTAAAGGCACGGTCGCAGGCTCGGGTTCACCTCTTCTTATCGCACGGATCGATGCTGCCGCTGCTCCTGGACCTTCTGACGGATCTCCCCCACGGTGGTCTCGGCCGTGACGGGCACGGCGAACATGCCCAAGGTGGTGAGCACCTTGACCTCCGGCACGTGGTCCTGGCAAGCTGAACGGTTCATGAGCTGCTGGGCGTTGATTTCAGGTGGGGTGCCTTGGTGGTCCTGGCGTTGCAACCCGGGAAAAAAGAAACAATGCGATGAAAGTCTTGGCAGAAGCAGTTGAAGTGTATGATCAAGAATTATATTGTCTGAGTGGACTGGGATCTCGTGGAACAAGATGGAGAAAGGAGTCTCGGTCCAGATCACTTCAGTAAATTAATGCTTTATCCTGATTTTCCATCCTCTTCCATATAGTTTCTTGGATTTTTGTCCGATCAACCCACCTCTCTCTGAGATGTTCCGTCATCTCCTCCCACCCCTCTTCATCCGTCTCCTGATCTCTCTCCGCGATCTCGGCCGCACCCTTCTTGATGAGACCGCCCTTCTCATCCCAGATCTCGCGGTCCGGCGCGGTGTTCTCGGTGAAGATCACCTCCTGCAGACAGGTGTCAGTCCAAATGCGTTTGTCAAACACTGCAAGGTCAGACCGGCGTCTTGTGGAAAAATTAGAGCATAGGTTTGAACATGGAAGAGATCGGGCATCATCTTGCATTTGCTGATTTGTTTCAGGAGCCCGGCCAAAAAGTAAACATCTTCCCCAGATGTCGGGGTAGCATCCAAATCAACCTGGTCTTCCGACTCTCAACATCTCCTGTTTTCCAGTGGCTGAAGAAAAGGAACACCCTCCAGCAGCACCCAAAGGGTGGTTTATACAACCCCACCTACCACAGTAACCACCCTTTCGGTGGTGCTAGAACCAGCGCCACGTCCAAGGCTCCTGTCCCTCTTCCTCTGCCATGGCCAAAACTAAACCTTCTTCGCCCACGCGTGAACACGATCTGGAGCCGAGAAACTGCCCACGGGAAAGTCATGGAATCAATCGACATCCATACGCCAGGAAGGCGAGTTGGCACACCGTCCACCTCCACCCTTCCACCCTGCGGGGTATACTGTCACGAATCAGCACCGTCGACCGACCTCCAGCACGGTGCGGGGATGTATTCACCCAGGTTCTGAGAAAAGGACCATCACCAAGCAAAACAGGGCAAAACCAGGAAGATCTTGTGATGATTGTAACATATTGTAACCTCCATATTGCGTTCCTCGATCCGATCATGAACTCACCCCCCATATCCCCCCATTGTCCCCTGGTTGGCCCGTCAAAACGTCCGCTTTGAGGCAGGCGCCGTAGGCCTCGGGCACAGGAAAGATCCCGAACTGCACATGGCGAAGACGGGGACATTGAAATGGTGCTGTAGCATCAAATCGTTTGAGCTCCATTTTGCCCTTCTAGTGCACACCACCATGAGCCACCCCATGGCGTTGTAGATAGCCAAATGGATTAAAATGGACAACCTCTCATTCGTCCAATGAGGAGCTACTCTGGTCACACTCTCGGGGCGCACAGAGTGTAAACATGTGTGTGTGTGACCTCATGACTCTATCCACTAGACTTGGTGGACGACCTCCACTACATCCCCCAGCATCCCCCAGCATCTGATGCTGAGATCTTCCTGCAACCGGCCCCATCTCAGAGCCCGGCGAGTGCACGCCGTGCACGGCACGTTCGGTGCGCTCGATGGGGCGCTCGATGGGACGCTCCTGATGTGAGATACAGATTGAAGGACCTTATAGGACCCTACTTGGGGGACCGATAAGGATAGCCTATAGGGTTCTTCAACCTCTGTTGGCTGGGACAGGAGAAGCCACACAGGCCCCCTGGCCACACAGGCCCCCTGGCCCCGCGATCTCCCAGCGCTCTGGCGCGGGGGAAACATGCGATCCACGGGCGCCGTGCGTGGCCAGTCCTTCAAACGGCTTTGGAGTTGCTGCGTTCGGGCCTCGGGGTGGCTCGGCCACCCGGTGGACCAACAGAGGTTGAAGAACCCTATAGGCTATCCTATGGGTCCCCCAGTAGGGTCCTATAAGGTCCTTCAACCTTTGCTGGGAGGAGAAAAAAGCAGAACGATCCCGGTGGGAGAAAAAGGGTGGCGCAAGTCCACTCCAAGGTACTTCGGCAGGTGCGACGAGTGCATGAGGGCTGCGGTGGCTGGATCCTAAGGTATGTAGGTGCGATGTTCGGATTTAAGGGTTTGGCTGGAACATCTGGGAAATGCGACACTCAAGCCTAGCTATAGGCTATAGTATAGGAATTATATAAATGGCATTGATAAACACTCAAGCGCCCTTGGCCCACTTGAGTGCCACGCCAGCTCCTCCGAGAGCGCATGGCGTAGGGACCTCGATGGCGCGTTCGCATACTGCGCAGAAGGGGAAACGGTGCAGAAGAGGGAGGGATGCAACGGAAAAGCCGCAGCGGTGTCGGGTTCCCAAGAACGTTCTCATGATCCATACAAAAACAAACCATCCATGGGACTCGCATATGTTATTTACCTATATATATACATTCATTGGGGTGGTTTTAGGGGTGAATGTAGGCATATATGCCAGTCCCATGGATGGATGGTCTGGGTAATAAGGGTGTTGAAATCAGCGGCGCTGATTTCATACATCGAAGTTCCAAAAATCTATGAGGAGCACATGTGGGACGTGTAAACGTCAGAGTCAGGAGTAAACTCACATGAGCAGCCTACAGGAACAGCAGCCCACAGATGCAGCCCTTGAGAAAGGTCCTTCTAGGACGTCCTATGACCTTTCGGACGGACATGGGGGTGGATGGCTGGATGGTTTGGTTTAGGAATGTTGAGTCTTGATTAAGAAAATCCTCAGAGATGAGATGGTTTCAACCTCATGGATGTTCTCCGAGCTGGAAGCTTACTACAATACATGGCCCAACCTCCACCGTTCCGAACGACACCTTGCAAAAATATATCGGCTCCAAAGAAGTCAAGGATCATCTTTGGCTTGATCAAGGTGAACTGCAAGCTGCAAACATGTAGGACTCCTAAACTTGCCAGAAATCCTCATATCCACCCCGCCTATGCCCCCAGCAACCATTTTTTCTTCTGTGAACTGATCGTTTTTGATCGCCTACGCCGCCTACGCCGCTTAAACTGATCTGATCCGCTGAGAATGCTCCGATTCTTTCAAACCATCTGTGCGCCTGCATTTCGGGAATACGCATGCAGCATGCCCAAGCAGCAAACGGTCTTTGAGTCGCAAAACCTGGCCTGGACATCGACCCGAGCCTCTCCCAATGGTTTTCACGGATGCAGGCTCTTGATTAAACAAAACCACTCGATATGAAGAGGCTTTACAATCCAAATGGGGCGTTTATGAATGAGCTGGAATGGTCTGGAACTTCATCGTGGTTCTTTCCTTTCTTCTTCCAGCTTCAGTGTGTCTGGGACAGTGGACCTCGCTTCTCCAAACTAGCTGAGGACCGCGCCGTTTCCCCTGGAAAACGCAGGTGAACCGAACTGTCCATCTGCACATTCGTGCCACGACTTCTAGGGTAAATGAATCCCACCATTAATGGTCAGAACCCCAACATATCCCAACGAACCCTTCTAGCAAGTACTTGGGGAACTCCCTGTAGCTCCTCGGCTCCCTGTTCAATGAGGAATGTGGATACCCCCAGCTCCTTGGCTCCCTTCTAAGCAACACCTAGCCTTGCTTTACTCACGATTTTAGACTACAGCGCTAGGTCCGGTCCCTTTTTTTAAACTGTCTTGGACATCTCCGGAGCCACTCAGCACAGGACCTGCGGCCGATCTGAAAGGTGAAACGAACCAAACAACTTCCGCGGCTGCCGCTCCTGCTCCTGGACGTTCTGATCTTCAGCACTACTTTCCAGGGATCTCTGATTGATCCACCAAGCAACAAACGTCAGCGTCAGCAAGCGCCATTCCGCCCCGCGCCCATTTCCAGCGCGGAAATTTGGGGCGTGCAAGTCTTCGTTGGTTGGCTCACCGCCAGGGAATGGAGTTCGGGGCTAGTACCTGAAGTGTCCGCGCAAAGGCATGTAAAGACATCCCTTTAAAATTGTTGTGATACTGTACTTGTTTATCGACTGTTACAGGTAATGGGACGCCCCCACATGTCTTGCTCCAGGAGTTTGTTCATGACTCCATGACCTTTTTGGGGGCTTGCATGTGGAGTTGGGTTACTTATGACTTGATGTCAGTGCTCAAGGAAAAACAGCTTGGTGACTGGAGACTGCACCATCTTCTTGACCCATCATGACCCTCAGAGACCCCTTAGGACGTTCAGCGATTCTTGCACAACAAAAACACCTCCCAAAAGCGGCCTGCCTTCACAGCCTACCTCAGCCTATCTCCTTCACCCCTTCTCTCTTCGAAACCCGGAGATGCCCCGCGACCCTGAAAGCCCGAAGCCTCCAGGTAGCCGCAGCGAAGATCGTACTTCAGGTCTTGGGCACTGTAGGTGAGACTCCCTTTCGGACTGCCTGCGCAGTCAGGCACGAGGGAGGGAGTTTCAAAAGAGGAAGAGGCAGGGGAGAGAATTCCAGGGGGGTCAGACCGGGAGAAAGGAAGGCATGCCTGAAAATGTCGTTTGGTGCGGAATATGAGATTGTTCCTTGCTTGATCCCCTTCTGTCTTCCCCTCAAGTCGTCTTTTCATGTGTTGTCTGTAGTAGCACGCGCGTCCTTTAAGGGTCTGGCAGTCTGGGCCAACGGCCATCTTTAGTTTTTGCGCGCGCAACATTTATATCATAGACTAACTGCTTCCAATATAAATGCAGTATCCTCCTTCTAGGTCTCCATTGGACGCGCGTGGGAAATGCTAGGGGCCTTATGAACGACACATGTGTCAAAAAATGTTCATCTACATTCCGTACTATATTCCTTCTGTTTACTTCTAGTAGACCCACTAAATCGGGGAAATAGAAAGCTTGAGAAGCGCAATAAGAAAGCAAAGCAACTGTACTCCAGCTTGTTCAGAACTTCCTGCAGTGACCGCTGGGGCCACAGTTCGAATCAACTCTGACTTGGGTTTCAACAGCAAATCGGAGACACCGACTGCAGTGAGTGCTTGTTTTCGGCTGAGAACGCTGACAACAGTCACCTCTGAAGCCCGCCCCTGTTCCACTCCCATGGTTCTTTCAGGGGGTGCAACTACATCTGACCTGAATAAACTCGCGTCCAGCCCCAGCCCCACCCTCCACAACACAAAAAAGAATAGGTCCCTATAGGCCACCAGCGATGGGAGGAGGGTCAACCCGCATGGTCATCAGTTGAGTCGAAGACATCGAGACTGACATCGAGATGGGCCGAAATAACTCGGGCCGAAGCGCCGCGACGCGACTCGTCTCCTGCACGCGCTTCCCATTGCATCGCTCCATTCGCTGGTTGATGCCCGGGCATTTCGCCAGCTTGCCGGTGGGCCTCATCACGCAGTACACGGAGCAGGGAAGTTCTCCTTTCCTTAGCACGGGCGATCGGGCGGAAGAGTTGCATCACAAAGGATGGCGGAAGTCCGTAGAGGTCTCCCTTGATCTGTTCAATCACCAACTACACCAGGTTTTTTAACCACCAGAGTATCTTCGCCAAATGTATGGTGTAGCTGACCCCTTGCACTGGCTTCACTACACCCATTGGTTGAAACATAAACAAACAACCCAACAGCCCATCGGTTTCAATTTGGCAAGCCCCCACTTGGAGTTGCTGATTCCAAAGCTGTCAAACACTCCAACGTCTTTCAAGTTTAAAGAAGGAGGGGTCACCCAGTTGGGGAAAGAACATCCATATCAAACCCACCGTGATATCGGATGTAATAGGTCCCAGGGTTGCTGACAACACGTATCTGCATCTCTTACTTGCATTTGTTTAGGAAAGCGGAAAACCATTAGAAACACATACTTTCGGGGATTCGCCCATAGTTTTTCTTGAACATCGCCTGAATCAGAATCGCAAGTCCAGGTTGTCATACGCACAGCCTAACACCTCCATAAAAGTCACCCGCATGCGTTCGCACGCATCTCTTTCAAGCCCAGCTTCGTACTGCTGCTGCTCGTCGAGCTCTTCGCACTTGTGGCATTCGGGACATCGTTGGGCGTCTCCGCCTTCGCCGTCGGCGCGCTCGCCGCGCGGCTTCTCGGTGCCTGGAGCCGCTTTCACGGTCGTGGCAGCGGTGGATTGGACCTAAGGGAGGGCGCCGATGGATGTAGTTAGACTCTTGTACAGATGATAGATGAAACATGATGAAACATGTCCCAGACATGGATTGAAACATCTCTTCAGGCTCTGGAGGATTTCTGAATCAATTGATCAAGGGGTGTAGAATAGTAATAAGATGCTGTAAGAAGACAAGTCCGCAGGAAACAAGTCTGACCGACCTGTCAGCTTACTACTGCAATGACTGTCCACACTTGGCATGTGCAATCAGCACTTTCCAAAGTCCTGAGTGGGTATGTACCACGCCGGCCTAGTCAGCTGATGGTTTTGTGCGGGAATTACATGAACTAAAGCTGTGAGTGAAAAGGCTTTGTGGTTTGAACATCCTGTCCTTGCAGTTGCTTAAGGGACCCGGGCAACATACTATTCCCTCAAAGGGGATGCACATGTCTTTCGGGTTTGTCGCCCTCCTGGCCTTCATTGCCTTTGTGGTCTTCATGACCTTCATGGCT